AATTTCTCCACTTCTGAGTAGTGAAGACTATCTAACATGATATTCATATCATTAAGCTAGAGGTCCGTCGCAATAGAATCTTCCTCGGCTTCAACTTTAAATTCGGGAGCTCCCAAATCTTTTTACTCTTTCGCTATATTCATTATATGAGTTGATGAATCAGGAGGTTGAAAACGCGTCAGAATAGTATCCAAAGTCCTGAAGAATATATATTGGTATTGTATAGGCACTCTCTGAGGTGTCTGCTCATCACCTTGCCTGGCCAGGGCATGTGAATTGCTACTACCCTCATGCCTATCATCTTCCGCTTCACTTCGGTAGCTTTCACGATCAGACATCTAGTAAGATGTAATCATATAACTCTATTAGCAAGACATCATACTCATTACTATATCAGATAAGAGATATTCACTATTCTGTTGGCATGTAAACTTTTTAAAACACTTTTGACCACTGTTTTTGCCTAGAATCGGCTAAATCATAGCTCTAATACCATTAAATGTAACACCCCAACCCGTATCCAACTCGAATACGAGTCCGAAGTATTACATTTACTTGTCAAATCAATGTACTTATACAAAATAGTGGAAAATTTAAACTTATATTTAAAAACTGAATAATTTACATGAGTTTAATACAAAATGTTTATAAACCGATCAGAGTATATACAACTTAAACCTTTAATTACATGCCAACACTGATTAATATAACAAAAGAACATACTGTTTAAGTTATTTTTGATCTGATATTTGAAGGAGTTATGTTGTCTTTGCTGCCTACTCCTGCTTTCCAGACTTCTTGGATCCTACGTGTGAAATACTCACACGCTAAGTCACAGACTTAGTGAGGCATAATATACAATAATGTAATGGTGAACTCATGGAATATGCAATCCTATAATTTCATTATATAATAACAATTATTATATGTCTACTCAACAATGACAGGTAAAATCATACATGGAACAAACAATAACATAAAATTTCATCATAACAATAATTCTTTTTATATCGTTTATTAGCTAATGTACATTACTGAGAACTAGGTATATGAGTGCATTGAGGTTGTGCACAAATCTTGTCACCACAGCTCGTATAAATTTGCACTGAGTGCCATATAACATTGTCCCAAAGGACCTCGTAGAATTATCCTGAAGAACCACATATATGTCCTAAATGACCACATAGAATTGTCTATAAGGACCACATATATGTTCCAAATGACCAAATATGTGTCCCGAAGGACTACATATATGTTCTAAAGGATTACATATATGTCCCGAAAGACCGCGTAGAACCTTTGACTCTTGGCATATCAATTATACCTACAACTCACATAACATGGGCTTTACTAATTACAGGTTTCACATGTTCATTTAATCAATCAAATCCTTACATATACATATACTTATATAGCTCATATCATTTCTCATGTAATCACATAGGTTCTATATCATAATATATATAACATGTGCATATAATCACTTATATCTTATCATACAACATGTGCATTATTCTATTAGGTTCACATGGATCACATAACATATATTATCGCATATATTAATATGTGTCTGTTATGCATGTGCTCATAATAATCATGACATCTACATGCCTGTAACTATAGAACCATGAAATCACACATAGGAAATAGACTTATCACACTTGGTTTTCAACAATCGTCTGTTGAGCATTCGTTGTTTAATAAAGGTTCTAATGAAACATTTTTTGCCCTCTTGGTCTATGTGGATGACATTGTCATTGATGGAGCTGATTTACGATTACTCAATGAGGTTCAAGATCTTTTGAAACAATATTTCAAGCTAAAGGAGTTGGAGCCTTTATGTTACTTCCTTGGTTTTAAGATAGCTCACAATGCTTCAGGAATTTCTTTATCTCAAAGAAAGTATGCCTTACAGTTGCTTTAGGACACATGTTGTTTAGGTATCAAACCGGTTGAATGTCTCATGGTTCTTTCTTTGAAGTTGAGTGCAGCTGAAGGGGAATAAGTTCCTGATCCCTAAGAATATTGATGGCTGATAGGTCGTCTCCTATATTTAACCAACACCAAACCTGACATTGTTCATACTGTGCACTTGTTAAGTTAGTTTGTGTCTTCCCCTCGGTTACCTTATATGACAGCCTTGAAACATCTTCTAGCTTACATAAAATAACCGCATGGACTGAGTTTATTTTTTTCCAGTGGATTCTACTGATCAACGAAGTATATTTGTTGATTCTGACTATACTTCTTGCTCAGATACTCGATGATGTACGTTTGGTTTTTGTGTTTTTCTTGTTAATAACCATGTTTCATGGAAGTCAAAAAAGAAAGCCATTGTTAGACGTTCTTCCTACGAGGTTGAGTATCGTGCTGTGGCTGTGGCTGCTTGGGAGTTGGTCTGGATAGCTTCTTTGATGACTTCTTTTCTCATTTCCATTTATCATGCTTGGTAATTTTTGATAACCACGCTGCAATTCATTTGTTGACTAATCAGGTTTTTCATGAAAGGACTAAACACATTGAGGTCGATTGTCATTTGTGTGTGACGAGGTTAAATCTATTTTTTTTAAACTTTTTCATGTCTGGTCTTCTGATCAACTAGCTGACGTATTTACAAAGACTCTCCGGTCTCCTTTGCATCGCGCCTTTGTTGACAAGTTGAGCCTCCTCGATCCATATAGTCCCGCCTTGAGGAGAATATTCAGGTTTATCATTGTTCAATTTAACTGATTATAAGTTAATTAGTTAGCTTAGTTAGATTTATGTTAGTCTTGGTAGTTAGTTGTCAATGGTTGTATATAAACAACAACTTTGTACTCTTCTGTATATGAAAATATAGCAGTTACATCTCTTCTTGAACTATATATATATATATATATATATATATATATATATATATATATATCATTGTAAAATATTATGATTTTAATCCCTAAATCATAAATAAGATTAATAATATCAATATAATCTCCTTGTAAAAATATTTTCCTTTATTGTCGGTGTATAAGATAATAGTCATTATACAAATGATGTTTACTTTAATATTGTATTTAATTCTATTTTTACCCCTCAACGGATTGAGAAATAAACCTTGGTATATTTTTATAGCACAAATGAAATTAAAATATGTATATATCATTTATTTATTTATTTATTAAATGTCAATTAATAAAATATAACTATCTCTTAACTCAAATTAAAAAAGTTAAAAAATTAAACTCTTGATATATCAAATAGTCATCTAATGGGAAAATGATGTATGTTACTTTCCAAAAACACAAATAGCTTTTCATTTATCATCCTTTTTTAGATTCTTTAATGTATATTTTTGCAAATTGCAATATATTATTATTAGATTGAGAAGGTGTAGTTTTTAAGGAAGGAATATAATAAACAATATTTTTTAAATATATATTTGATTAGGTAGTCTCATCTCGCAGTATGAAAACCTTAATTTTACACGAAATTTTAGTGTAGGATTACTGTGAATATTTTCAAATTAAAGAAAGAAACTGGCCTCTCCCTAAAGGACAAGCCGCAAATTTCCACTTTTTCAGAGTTTATCTAAAAAACACGTTTTGAAACGTGGTGTAGGACCACAGTCCATGAATGATAGCCTACATTTAATATATTTATTTTACCTTTACAACTCAAACAAAAAGATTTTAGGAGGCACAAAATTATTTTTTATTTCGTAAAGTTTTGAATTCGAAAATAAAAACTACCATTATATGAATGTTTAATGTCACATATAACATAATATAAGTTTTATATAAAACATAAAACTATATATCATAAATATAAATGTTAGTAATTACCGCTTAATTTATTTATCAATCGCTGGGCCCCTGTTGCACGTGGTTAATATGAAAGAAAGTGGACCAAGATTCATTTACTATGACTTTGTCGATTGCCCAATTAATATTGTCTGTCCGATTTCAATCAAATATAAATGATTTAATTGCCTCGACATTTTACAGTCACGTCTTGTCATTAAGGGGGAAAATGACATTTTTTCTAAATAAGTATTATAAATTTGACAACAAAATAAGATCCCAACACATTTGTCTTAATTAGGTTCCACCACTCGCGTAGTTACAAATTGAAATCGCTTTATTTTTAGAATTTTTTTATTCGAGTTTTTCTTATTTATGTGAAATTGTATTGCTAATATCAATTTTAAATTTAATAAATTAACATGAATCCAAATCTATATAAATATTAAATAATTTCTCCTAAAGAATTTTTATATTAAATATATGATCCTAAATGTAATCCAAATAAATATGCTTTCTTATTTTCAATTATCAAGTTAAAATATATTTTCAATTGAATTTATTTTGTTAAACTACACGTTTAATACTTAAAATATTACTTTTGTTCTATTTTGGTACTCAAAACTTTATTTTTAAACTATTATTAGTATTTAGTTTAAGTTTTAATTTGATATTTAATTGTTAAAAACTTAATAGAATTATTGATGTTATATTTTTTTTTATTTTTCAATGGTGATATGATATTATCTTACATTAACATGTTAATATCACCATTAAATTTTTAATGATATGATACTAAAATTGAAATATAAACTAAATGTTATGTATGATTTTGAAAAATAAAATAAAATATGAATACTAAAATGGAACAAAAGTAACACTTTAGGTACTAAATGTATAGCTTAACCTAGTTTACAATATTAAAATTAAAATATTAAATATTATCTTGAAAATATAACATTTTATTTAACCAAATTAAGAAATAGTTAATACGACACACCAATTAGTAAAATGGGTATTAATTGAATTTTGTATGGAATGATAAAAGAAGAATAAAAAGATGATTAATGTAAAGAGTGAAGGGGAGCCCACAGGCATAAGTGGTCACTGGGCCAATCGCTATCAAATTCATGTGCTTGTGGTGCCAATAGTGACACACCTAATAGCTTAAATTCGGAGAGTTTGTTTCCCCCACCTACATACACCAATTTTAGGCTTCTTCAACCTGCCCTTGTAAACCCTACACCTATTTTCCATTCGATTCCACCAACCAAATTTTCCTTCAGCCATGGAAGATCTAATAATCTCCCCATCTTCATCTTCTTCTCTGGTTTCATTTTCTCAAGAATCTGCACCTTCAACTCTCCAGCAGAGGCTTCAATTTATGATCCAGAGCCAGCAAAATTTGTGGGCGTACGCTGTGTTTTGGCAGACATTAAACGATGATCTAGGTCGTTTGTTCTTGGCTTGGGGAGATGGTTATCTTCAATGCACCAAAGATATGTCTCCGAAACTGAGTTCCAATGTCCATGGCTTGCACAATGATCGAAGAAAGGTGATGAAGGGAATCCAAGCGCTTATCGGGGACAATCACGACATCAATATGTCCATGCTCGACGGAACCGATATCACCGATGTTGAATGGTTCTATATGATGTCGATGACTCGGTCTTTCTCCGCCGGAGATGGGATTCCAGGCAAGGCTCTTAGTACTGGGTCTTTGATTTGGCTAACTGGTGCTCATGAATTGCAGTTTTACAATTGTGAAAGAGCTCGAGAAGCACAAACGCATGGCGTTGACACACTGGTTTGTATTCCTACTTCTTGCGGTGTTGTTGAGCTAGGATCCTCGGAAATGATCAGGGAAAATTGGGGTTTAATCCAGCAAGTGAAATCCCTATTCGGATCCGATCTCATTGGTTTGGTTCCGAAACAATCAAATCCGAATCTAACCCCTGGTCCGATCCAGTTCCTTGATAGAAACATCTCGTTTGCAGACATCGGAATAATAGCCGGTGTTCAAGAAGATGATGATGCCAGCCCTGATATAAAAACAAAGCAAGAAAACAATAACAAGAGTAACCAAACCAAGAAAGATTCCTCCTCGAAACTTGGGCAACCTTCTTATGCGGATTCAGAGCATTCAGATTCAGATTTTCCATTACTTGCAATGAATAACGTAGAGAAGAGAACCCCAAAGAAAAGAGGGAGGAAACCCGGGCTCGGACGAGAGACCCCGTTGAACCACGTGGAAGCCGAGAGGCAACGCCGTGAGAAGCTAAACCACAGGTTCTACGCTCTCCGAGCAGTAGTCCCGAACGTGTCGCGCATGGACAAAGCATCGCTCTTATCTGACGCTGTCTCCTACATCAACGAGCTAAAGCTGAAGATTGAAGAACTGGAGTCTCAGCTTCAGAAAGAGTGTAAGAAAGTGAAGGTAGAAACGGTCGATAACACTATGGATAACCAAAGCACCACCACCACTTCCGAAGAGCAAGCAACCAGGCCAAGCGATTCGTCATCCGGAACTGATGGATCCAGTGGGCTGGAACTGGACGTCAAGATCATGGGAAATGATGCAATGATTAGGGTTCAATCAGAGAACGTGAACAACCCAGCTGCTAGGTTAATCTGTGTCCTTCGAGACCTGGAGTTCCAGATCCATCATGCAAGCATGTCGTGTGTTAACGATGTCATGCTGCAGGATATTGTCGTTAGGGTTCCTGATGGATTGACAACCGATGAAGGCCTAAAATCTGCTCTTGTAAGCAGGCTAGATCAGCAGTGAGTAAGGTTTGATTCAGGCTATGCAGTATCCAACTATCCATTTTCAATATTTTCTACTATTATTTTTACCCCTTTATTTGCTTTTTCTTTTAATCAAAAGTTATTTTTACATTTTTCCTTTAGACATTTATTTTCTGCTTGCTATGTAATTAAGGGGATAAATTCAATCAACTCTTCGTTTCCCTTTAATCTTTGGCTGTTACTGATTTTTGTCTAACTGTTCTACATATATATTTTTGTTTTGGCTGTCCCCCACCCCAAGTTCATGGCAAGTTTAATTGTGAACATACAAAAATTGAAAACATTATATAATTAAAAAGGGACAGTAAGGTACATGTCTATTAATTGGAAACAAAACCAATGCTTAAGAAAACAGTGTTCGTATCAAGAGGGTGAGGACTCCGGAATCTTCAAACTCAATCCAGCGTTAATTACTGATAAATTGACCTTTTTTCTCTCTCTCTCAAATTACGATAAAAAATTATCGGCCCATTTAATAATTTAAACAAAAATTGATCTCCTCTTAAATACCACTATAGAACTTCAACAAATTGCCTTTTGGACACAGAGCTGCCAAAGATACACGACAACTTTTAAGAAATAGTGCAAAACATAGGAATATATAGTTGAATTTACCATGATTAAAGAGAACAGAGAAAATCCTATATGGTCATTGGTCAGTGACCAGTAGAAAGTTAACTAATTTCATGTAATACCCCATAATTTGGTTAGTGACCAAAACATAAATTTTAAAAGTTTAGTGGCCAAAGTAGAAAGTTGAAAAAGTTAGGGACCAAAAGGGTAATTTCAAAAGTTATGTATTTTTACCCCGTAAATAAATAGTTCAACTCCAATAATGACGTTTTCTTCGAAATCAAAACTTTGATCCAGAAAGTGTTAAAAGCTATAAAACAATAAAGTACGAAAGGAAATCGAACCGAAATTTAACAAAAAATTGAAGGATGATAAATAAAGGTTGGAAATATTATTTTCAAATTTTAGAACAGTGAAATTTAATGTGGATCAGTGGAATTGAAGTTGATTTTATATATTTAGCTGAAATTCAAAAATTTAGTAACTAAATTGTAGTTTTTGAAAAATTGAAACGGAAAAGTTGAAAAGTGATTTTTATTTGTTCATATTTGACTTTAGAATATTAAAAGGGATGATAATGCAATGGCAAGTTGAAATTATCATGTTTCATTAAGGTAGAATGATAATTTTACATTAAATGAATTTTAAATTCATTTATATTAGATTAAGCCAAGTGTATTATGTTTTAATTGAAGAAAAATTAGAAAATTTCAGTTTCTTCCGGCCTCAAAACGTGCACCACCATAGCTACAAGGTAAGAATTTTATTTTATTTTTATTTTTATTTTTAAGCTTATTCGATTGATTTTTGGATTAAGCTATTAGATAGATAATTAATCCCCTTGAAATTCTCTATCATTTGGTATAAATATTACATGCAGATCATGCTTATATGATGAGTTTTGAAATTAGGATTTATGTAGGATTTATTGATTTTGAGGATTTGATGAAATATTTTTATGTTTTTGATGTTGGGGATTACCTAGGGTTTTAAGAAAATTTTGATTTGGTTAAATTATGTTAGGACTTTGATTGTAGAAGCCTTGAAATGTTGTTTAGAGGTGGAATCCATGTTTGAATCAAGTGAAAATCAAGAATCCTAACCACTATGATATTCGACCCTAAGGAATTAATTGGGGGAAATGTGAAAATTTTCCCTATGCTTAGAAATGATGTTTGAAATGTTCTACAAGCTTTAGAAAGTTATTTGGGCCATTTTGTAATTTTATAATAGTTTGGGGCCTATTAGACAATTATGTAAAATTATGGGGTTTGTGTGAAAATATTAGAAAGATAATATACTATGCTGGAATTGAAAGTTAGAATATTAAATTTGATGTTAGAATGTGAAATTTGACTATTTTGAAAAGTTGGCAAAATTTGAGTATTAAATGACAAATATTGAGAAAGTCAGTAACTTAAGTGGTAATAGTGGAGTTGTTGAGGTATTGGGCTGGAAATTTAATTAAGTTGTTTGAAACTTGAATTGAAGCTAAAAGACAAAGGACTATTTGGAATAAAATATGAAGTTGATATGAATTCCAAAAGAATTCATAAATGGTAGTTAAAATGGAAAGTTGAACAATGTTATACGAAGTTTTGATGAATATGGATAAAAATGGATTTTTTGGTCAATTTAAAGTATTTAGGTCAACATTTAATGTATATGAAATTCGTATCAAATGAGCATCGAAAGGTTTTTAGGAATTTATTTTATGTTGTGTGCCTATGTTACTAATATTCTAACATATGGTTGGAAATATATATGTTTTGTAAATGGTGTTCATTTAGATTATGATTGAAATCAATATCAAGCAATGTTAAAGCTAATGAGAAGCTTAAGGATGTAGTATGAAGTGCTAGGAAGGTTTACAAATGAAGGACATCATGTCAGTTCATATTTAATTCGTATTTGTGTTATCAAGCAAACATTGGCTTGCGATGAGCCAGTGACGAAATTACTATGGTAAGAAGTAACTTCTAACTATTATGTGAATTGTGATTCATACATATATGTTCAGTTAATATGCTAATAGAATTAGTGAATAAGCTGAAAATATAAGTTAGTGAAATCTGCTCAGATTTGTGTTTTGAACAGTAAGTTTAGAAAATCATCATAAATTATATAGAAATGATTAGAGGACGATTTTTACACCATTGGATTCATATGTTAGTATAGTTTTGTTTAAAATAAACGAATATTAATTTCGATATGTATACAAAAAAGATATGAATTTTTAATTAAGGATATGTCAGAAAGAAGGGCAGTAGATTCTGCTAAAAACAACTTCTGTAGGTAAATTTCAAAAATTCACTATAAATTGTATAAGATGAACTAGAAAAAGTTCCTTATATAGTTAGATTCGTATTCAAATCTAGTTTCTATTGGTATAAACATAATAATAACTTTTAAGTGTGTAGATTAATACAAAAATAATATTTCTTTGCAAGTTGTGTATACTGCCAATATATAAAACTTGTCATAAATTTTGTTTTCATATTACTCCTATGTTATAGGTTATTATAAATGCTCGAAATAGGTCAAATTTATTATAATTGGTATGATAGTTATGATATTTATTACATGATGTTTATATGTTAAAGAAATATAATTGACAATGATTATGATGTATAAATGTTATGTGGAAATGAAATGTTTAGAGTATGAACTATCCATTACATTATGATATTAAGAGTTAGATATGTTGATATAATGATATCTTTAATAATTGAATAATATATAATAATTAATGGAAAAGTTCATTGTATGTTGCATTGAGAGTCGTAAGTACACTTAGTATATCAGGAAGTTGAGTAAAGTTCAAGTTAAGTTATGGTATATTCGTGTACATTACATATGACATCGTTGGTGTATAGATATGATTTGCACTTAGAGTGCACCTTATGTTGATGATTTGGCATTGAAGTGCCTAGTGTGCATATTATGTATAATTCACGTATCTTGCATTCTTATAATATACATTGGACTATGAATATGACAGTAAGTTTGATTTATATGATAATTATTATTTTATGATTTTACATGATTAATGTAATAATTGTAAAGTTAATAATGAAATGTTTTATAATGGAATAAAATTTTAAGCATGATGATGAGTGAATGTTTATAAAATTGACGTGACATATTTAACTCGTATTTTGAGACGTATATGAGTTATGATATTTAATTCGTATTTTGAGACGTATATGAGTTATGAGAGATACAATTCGCCTTCTTGCTTAACATTTGTATACTTTCTGTCCCATCTCGGGAGGGTAAAGGCATTGAAGACCATGTTTCTTTCATTTAGTTTATTGTAAAAGAACTTTGATTGTGATATATGGGAAGAATTTTTTTTATTTAGTTTTGTAAGTTGAAAAATATTGTTACAAGTTCTAGGGTTATATAGTAGGGGTCATATTTGATGAGTCTTATGCTTAGTTAATTACATTTTGTCACTTTATTAATGAATAAAACAAAAAATATATTAAAAGAATTATAATAAATATCCTCAAATTTATAGAAATGCCAAATCGAAAACATTACCTTGTTATTTTCTATTGTTGATTTTATTTTTCAAGCGATTCATTAACAAAATTTTTCTCATGTTCTTAGAATTATTTAATTTTCTATATCGAGAGGTGGACACTCAAAAAATTAGAACAAGATTGATAAAAAAAATTAAAACTTCATAAAATTCTTCATTCAATGTTTGAAATCGTTGATGATTGTGTTGAAAAATCGGGTAAAGAAAACGAAAGAACACAATAATTTTAACGAGATTCAACAATGTGCCTACGTTCTCGGTGCCCTAGGCAGCGCTAGAATTTTTATTCAATATCTCATAGGTTTTGGTTACATCTCCTTTTATAATAAATAAACCCTAATACATATTTACAAAAAATAACTTTGTACCGTACCACGGGAGCTGCGCCCCGCATCCCCAACCCACATAATCGTAACCCCCACTACGAGACTTTCTTTGTAAGGACAGATGATGTTCGCTTCGCTCACTCCACTCTATCCTCTGTCCTATTTACCGGTATATTTATGAGTCATACCTAACAAATTGATATATGGAGCCAAAGTTCTAGGTCGTATTTATGAAGTTCATAAATATATAAAAAGTCTTAATATCATGTTGGGAAATAAACGAGAACGAGTAATTTTCCTAAACCAGATTAGTGAGAATGCGAAATAAAAACGGAAAAATAATACCCGAAATTGATAACGGAGTTTAGCCAATTGTGCTTACTACTCCAGACTGTTGTAGATCTTTTACTAAGAGAGAAAATTTACAGGTGTTTACAAAACACTCACTTACTCACAAGAAACTCTCTAGTATTGGTAGAAAGAAATGATTTGGGATGATCTTGAAGCTAAATGGGTTAAGGTATTTATAGTTGAAGCTTAAAGACTAATCTTATAAATACCCTAAAGTCTAGTGACTAATTATAATTATCCCATTA